AAACATATGAAAAAATCAAAGATGATTCTCAAAATAATTATGGGTTTAATTCAATTGTTGTGAAATATATTATATGGTACGTTCAGTGAAAGCAGTTGCACAAATTTTACAAGTGAGTTGCTAAAAGTAAATAACATCAATAAATGTGCTTTCATTTTGATTGAATCAAAATTTTATTAGTTTTATTTATTGATTTCGTTTTTCTTTTGATATCGAACACTACGTTTACGCTAGTCTTAAAATCACTTCTAACTATTGATATTAAAGATATGTTGTATGGTGTTTAATGCAGCAAAGCAATAAAAGAAACGTTGGCAACTCTATACAAACACAACGTGTACGTTGCTTTGATTCTTTCTACTGTTGTGCGGGTCTGCTGTTTGTGTTGTTTCGATTTAATTATCGCAAAATGCCGACAATTGGAGTTAAACGTGATTTATTATTTGAAGCGTTGGGGAAGATTTATAGTAAATTTATTATATTCTATGTATTACAATTGAAATGAAACTACATTTTCCTTTTAGCGGATGATGAATTTCAGCAGTTATGTTTTGCATTTGGCTTGGAATTGGATGAAGTGGTATGTAGTTTCAAATGTGAAAAATACTGTATATTTATCTCAAAAAAACAAATAACTTTTCCAGACATCTGAAAAACAAATGCTTACGAAAGAACAAGGTGATGTTGCTGCCGCTGCCGACGCATCTGAAGAAATTATTTACAGAATAGATATACCAGCAAACCGTTATGACTTGTTATGTTTGGAAGGTTTAGTTACTGGCTTGTTGGTATTTCAGGGCAAGTAAGTTATTTCCATGTAATATTATATTTTATTCTTTTCATAACATAATATTTATGTAGAATTAAACCACCTCAATTCAAGCTGACGGAACCTTCAGCACGACAAGTACTTAAAATTTCACCCGAAACAGGGTTAATTCGCCCCTTTGCGGTAGCTGCTGTTTTGCGTAACATAAATCTTTCGCAAGCAGCATATGATAGCTTTATTGATTTGCAAGATAAATTGCATCAGAATATTTGTCGTCGACGTACGTTAGTCGCCATTGGCACACATGACTTGGACACCTTACAAGGACCATTTAGCTATGAGGCTCGCAAACCGGAAGACATACAATTCGTGCCTCTAAACCAAACGCGTCAAATGAATGGCCATGAATTAATGGACTTTTATTCAACACATGCGCAACTAAAACAATATTTACCTATTATACGTGATTCACCAGTTTATCCAGTAATTTACGATGTCAATGGTGTAGTATTGTCATTGCCACCAATTATAAATAGTGATCATTCGAAAATCTCGATAAAAACACGTAATGTTTTTATCGAATGCACTGCAACTGATCTAACCAAAGCAAAAGTAGTTTTGGACACTTTAGTCTGTATGTTTTCAGCACATTGTGCAGAAAAATTCTCTATAGAACCGTGCGATGTTGTACAAGTTGATGGTTCTACTGTAACTTATCCTGAATTAAAAGTACGCACTGAACTCGTATCAGCAAAAAAAGCAAATGCTGCAATTGGTTTGTCTTGTGACACTACCCAGTTAGCGGATATGCTAACACGTATGTATTTGGAAACTAAAGTCGATGGTGACGATAGCTTAGTTGTTAAAATACCACCTACAAGACATGATGTTATACATGCGTGTGATATATATGAGGATGTCGCAATTGCTTATGGCTATAATAACATTAAAAAGTCATTACCTGCCTTTATGCATATAGCAAAACAATTTCCATTAAATAAACTGACGGATTTACTGCGTGAACAAGTTGCTCAAGCAGGATTTACGGAAGGGTTAACATTCACACTTTGTTCAAGAGATGATATTGCGAAAAAGCTGAATAAAGATATCGATGCTATAGCAGCAGTACATATATCTAATCCAAAAACACTTGAATTCCAAGTTGTACGCACAACACTACTACCGGGTCTATTAAAAACTTTAGTAGCCAATCGTAAAATGCCGCTGCCCTTAAAACTATTTGAAATAAGTGATGTAGTCATTGCTGATGAAAATAGCGAGGTTGGTGCACGTAATGAACGTCGATTATGTGCTATCAATTGTAATAAAACTGCAGGCTTTGAAGTAGTCCACGGTTTGCTGGATCGTGTAATGCAGTTACTGGAAGTACCATGGAAAAGTGGTAACACTAAATCTGGTTACTACTTACAATCGACTGAAGGTAAAGTTTACAAAATTTTATAAGAGTATATAAATTAATTTTATGTTTCTTACAGATATTAGTTATTTCCCTGGCCGCTGTGCTAACGTAATGTATAACGACGTAGCAATTGGTAAAATTGGCGTGTTACATCCAACAGTGTTGCAGGCTTTTGAATTAACGACTCCCTGCTCTGTGGTTGAATTTAATATCGAACCATTTGTCTAAAGATTTAAAACTAACTATATCAAAAACATAGTTTTTGTATTCAACACATATGTGTTATAAATAAATAAAATCTTAACTTATTGAATTATTGTAGTTTGAGTAATTAAAAACCTAAATAATAATTTTGTATCTTTTTATTTATAAAAAAAATTAATATCTATGATTTAATTAATTATATATTTAATGACTTAATAAAATTTATTGAGTCACTGTCAACAGGCGTAAAAGTCTGAAAAGACGTCAAGCTTTCGTTTACAGAATCGGCAGATCCAGTAAGCCTAGTTTATTTATCTTGAAATGCATTTATATTCACACTTTGTAGTTTTCCTATGTGGGATATGACACAAAACCATAATATTTATATCGTTTTACTAATCATGGTTTTACTGATTATCTATGTAGAACTTTTAGTTGTGTCCTATTCAATTTGCATGTAATGAATTAACAGAACAATTGACTTTAAAATGTAACCAAATAAAGTAAGGAAGGGGTAATTTACTGTTATCTTATTTCTTTATACAACCACTTAAATAGGTCAGAACCTTGAATCTAGATGAAAGGCATTACATTACGAATATATCAGTGAGATATTAATTGATTTTAACCAAGATCAAAACGAAGAAACCTGACCAATTCTAAAGAGTGGATAATGAGTCAAAATCATCACGAATGGTTTCATAATGCTTTAAACTATTAGAATACAATTATATCAAGACCTAGAACAATTTTTTTCTTCTAAATTATGGTCACGAACACGTGTTCTAATCCAATCGGCAAAATTCAGATATCAACAAGCTAATGCATTTGCTGAATAGCATATTCTCTTCACAAGATCATCATTAATAACCTGTTTGTTTTAATAGTATATATTATAAAAATCTTAACGAGAAAGAAATGGACAATCGATTATGAAACTATGATAAATTAAACAGTAAAGTCAGCGGTATTAACATGAACTCTTGAATTAATTAACGTACCTAGCTAAGGTACTAAGATATATCAATATTTGTTTACTATTTTTTCTCAATCTGTCGTCTGTTAAGAAACTTGCAAATTTTTTTGTACTCTTATTCAGTTCAGCTAAGCTTATAAACAAACAATGAGCTTTCATTGCAATGATTTATTATAATCTTTAAATCTGCTAATTTAAGTAAAGAGAATTGATTTATGCCTTTGATTGATGTAGATTATAGATATCTAGAAACACGTGTACGTGTAATATTTATTTATATTTTAAAAGCTTGAAACATAATACTTCCAATATATAAACAAGAATAATATTATTGTCGAATATAAGAAAAATCGTTCACTTTCTGTTCATTTTATTATAATTCATTTTATTTATTAATCAAATTCCCTCATTTAAATCAAATCAGTCTTCAACTTAGCATAAATATATATGTATATCCAGGTAAATAACAAAGTGCTACTTAATAGTACTTAACCGAGTATAGAAAAAGACTATATATTAGAAACTTCTACCAAGTAGTACTAAAAAAAAAAACAAGAGAATATCATAAAAACAAATTTTGTGTAGAAAACTTCGATGTAAATGTTCCTAATTTTAAAATAAAATAAGTCATAAGGCAGTAACACTAATCATTTCTGAAGAACCATTTTCGCAGACTATTAAATTTTTAATGTAACCAATATATTTACAAAATCAAACTTCTTTGTGTTTGAAGGTGAGTATCCAAATTGCCGCATTGTCTTCATGACTATTCGAGGGCAGTCTGTCTCTGGGTTTCCTGACAAATCCGCAAACAATGCCAGAAACTGAGTAAACGTAGTAAAGAGTGAAAATAAAGCATAACTACGTTACGATCATTACGATTAATTCAAATTAATCACAAACGTTGTGAAAGGCATGTTCTTATCCAGTACAACCGAGCACAGTCCATGCCTACAAGTCACAACGAATTGTAGGCCTGCGAATTTTACTTAGAAAAAATTAAGTAAAAAACACTTAATTTAGTGTTGTTTTTAAGTCCAATAATTTTAAATATAACTATTGTAACTATTTATTAATAAATTTCAAACAAATGTTTTTATTCCATATAATCTTATAGGCATATTTATTAGTTTATTTAAATATGTAATATTTTTCATATTGAATTTTTTATTTCTTCTTATATTTTTGCATAATAATAGTTATAATAAGAATAAGCATGACCATAATAATAAAATGTATTTTTATATAAGATATTTTGGGCATAGTAATAATAATAATATTAATAATAATTATAAATGTATTTCTATATTTTATTCACTTACTTTTGCATTTTTTTTTTATTTTTAAAGTATTTATTTTTATATGCATACACGTACGTAAATTAATTTACGCGTTAGTATAGCATACATATTTCTATTTATTTAATTATATTTTTAATTGATGTGCAAAAGATTTATATTTCTTTTTTCGTATTGAAAAATAATATAAATACAAACTAATTCAAATCAAAAATATATATAAAAAATAATAGTTTTTTTTTCAACAATTTAGCGCAACATATTCGTTTTTGATGTATATATACATACATATATATATTAGAAAGTATGTATATATATATATATATATGATTATATATATATATAATTCATGTATAATAGGTCTTCAAATCACTACCTTCTCGGACAACTTCAAATCGATTTCAGTATTTAAATATGTAACAATTATATCTTCATTAAATATATATCAAAGTAGCGAATTATTCAATTACTGTTTATAGTTGTGTGTATAAGGTTTAAGTATACATACAGTACTATGTACCCTATTCATAAATAAAGTAGCAGTAAAATTAGTGTGTATGCATGTGTGTATTATATATACGTGTTTAGGTTATAATAGTTGATTGAATATATTATATAATATAAAGAGCAATAAATTTGCAGTTTCGTATATTGCATTTTCAGCTGCAGTTTTTTTTTTAAATAAAAATTTTAGAACTGTTTTATGTTTTTCGTTTTTTTAAAAGCCTTAAATAATGTTTAATTGTGTGTATGGTTCTTGTGTTTCCAAACATTATTTCATTATCTTGTTATTAATGCGTGCAGCGTGATTTTGTTTTAAATATTGTATAGTTTTCAAACTTCCACCTTCAATTTTCAATCCTTGTTAAATTTATAATAAATCCATTTATTTTCTGTTCATTACAATTTTCTTAAAATAATTTTCTTTACTAATTCAAATTATAGAAGAAAAAAGAATACGCATAACGCATAACGCATAGACAAGAATGGTTTCAATAGTCATCTTTTTATTTTTGTTTTTGTTTTCGTTTTTGTTTTTGTTTTTCTATGTTGATAGGTTGTTCGCTTCTTTTTATTGTTGAACGCTAATGTTCCTTTCCTCCATTTGCCATTAATTAGTCCAATTGGTTGGCCATGACTGTGAATATAAGAAATTAATTGTTGAGTTTTTAATACAATAAAATATAAATATATTAAACTACATTCTAATTTTCAACACATAAAAATAATAATAAAATATTAGAGGTGCTCTCAGAGTTTAGATAGATCTTAATAATTTTACAGAAACTTTCAAGTTGCCCAAGGAAAGAAATACTTTTCAATATTTCCAGAAGAGATCATACATTACAACTCTTACGAATTGGTTAAGTTTGTTAGTAGTTGGTAGTCTCTCAGTCAATTTGACAAAATCACGTGAGTCCATTATTATACCAAAAATTAAAACGGGACGTTAACGTTAACGCTTGATGTTATTTTATCTTAGAACTGCAAAGTTCTGTAAGAGAATTGAACATCTAATTGTCCAAAAAAAATTGATTTGACTTTTGCTAGTACTGAATAGTTGCAGAAAAGAAGTTTTACTGTTTATCCTTTCCATTCATCTGCACAAATTCAGCAATATTCATGTAGAATATTGTGAACATGTAGATGTCTAGTATATAGCCAATGTGTGTCTAAACTGGTCACGAGCTTAAAGATATTCTCCCTTGATAGACTGGGAATTTTACTTGATTTCTGTTTAACAAGTTTCGGATAAGATGAGAGATGTCTTCGATTACTAGATTACGTACAAGTAAATTTATTAAAATAAATCACACTAAAGACTTTCAAAATCAGTTATAATGATTATACATTTTATTTATTTAAATTTCAAAAGATAACGAAGGAACAGACAGACGAGCATATATTATATTTTAAATTGATTCTACTTAAAATAATAATAATAAAAAATATTTCTTACATGTTTATCATGCTGATCCCACATTTCTCCTTTATCCGGCATATGACTCATGTCAGTTGCATGTCCAACAAACTGTGGATATTGATAGTTTGGTAATAAATTCATTTGCTGTGTTTGATTTAAATTTGGTGGCTGCATGGACATGTGATAATCCATTGGCATCTAAAAGTGAAACAATGATTTTGTGTATTTCTTTTCATATTTCATATAATTTGGTTGGTTTGATTGGATACTTACATGAAAGGGATCTTGCTGATGATGGTATTCAGTAGGACCCATTCCCAACCCTGCTCCTGGTGTTATATTTGCACCTCCACCATAATAGCGATATTGTTGTTTCATAAGCCAATTTGAATGTTGAGATGCTTGTTTTTCTAACAGCCACTGTGGGACGAGTTGTCCTGTGGCACCCATAGCATTGGGTCCGCAAACACCAGATAAATTATCTTCAAGTGATAGACCGGAACCTGGAACACCCATATTTGGGTAATTAAATTTCCAAGTGGCACGTTCTGTACCAATCGGCCGTGGCATCTTGCGTAAATCTTCTGATTGTTGTTGTTGTGATGGTTGCTGTGCTTGATTTTGTATCAAACCATTACCTTGCGCACCGGAACCCTGATTTGGAGACATTGCAGCTGGAGAACCACCACTGCCAACATTACCAGGCATTCCATTTTCTAAATTAATCATATCTCGAGCATTTTGTACATAGCCGCCGTATTCACTATTGCTTCCAACACCATACCAACGTTGGTTTGGCATATGGCCGCTTGGTGGTTGTGATTGAGGACGTCCTGGTGCCAATGATTTACCAGGAATAAAATTTGGATTTGCTTGCTGCTGTTGATGAAAAATACCTGTACCAATGGGTGGTTGCTGCGAGACTGGCTGTTGTGTTTTCGGTTGTGAAAATGCCGATGCACGTGGATTTAAACGTGATGTTAAACTTGTTGGTGTAGGATTCGTTGTGTTGTATGCTGCACCAACATTTGCATCCATATGATAATTCATTTGATGCGTATTAGCATTCATATTTTGTTGTGTGGGTGCTACAAGATGATCGTAAAAACCAATTGCACCAGAACCGTTTGCACGACCTGGAGTATTTGAACCAATTGGCCCAAAATTCATAGGTGTTGATGAAGCGTCAAGTGAAGCAACGGGAGCAGTAGTAGGCGGTGTATGTCTGGCATTTGTAATGTTCGACCCGACTGTGCCTGGTCTGTGCTGACTACTTGCTGGCCGTTGAATTGCTAAGCCGCTTGGAGGTGCTGTACTCCCTGAGTTTTGCCCAATTGCTTGAGGAGGTTTAATGACACCAGGGGAGATTGAAGCATTACTAGAGGCAGATGTTGACTGCGATGCTTGTAAAGAATTGGCGTTTGTGTTTGTAGTCGAGACATTTTCAATTGTTGAAATTGCAATAGTTGGCGATATAGCAGAAGCATTTCCAACAGTTGTATTCACAGGCATAATATTTATTGGTTGCTGACCCGAATTTACACCCGATGGTAGAGATCCAATAGGTGCTGTAATAACACTACCTGGTGGTGATGTAGAAAGGCTAGATGATGCTTTCGAACTGCCCACTGGCGAACTTAAAATATTTCTATTGTAACCAGGAGCTTTAGAAGCATCAGCTTTTGGTAAATTCTCATTAGCCAACCCAGTATTCGATGAATATATCTGTTTATTTTCACCTCCCCATTGAGATTTATAAGTGTTATCATTAAATAAAGAATATTCATTGCTAAGATTTGTAGCAATCTGTGTACCAAAGTTTGATGGTTGTGCAATTGAAGCGTTATTAGCGTTATTTGCTCCGGAAGCTCCACCAGCACTATCGTTAACACCAGCTTGATTTTGTGAAATTTTAGATTGACCTATAGATGTAGTTGTTTGTTGTTGCGTCACATCCTGTGGAAGAGTTTGTGTATTTGGCATTGGTGAAACATTACGTTTTGGTGGACCAATGGGTGTAACTGGGCGTGTTGTGTTTACATTGTTTTGGGATGCTGCAGCCGCAGCTGCAGCAGCTGCATTAACAGCAGCAACATCAGCTACATTAAATGTGCCAATAGGTCCAGATAAAGTATTGTTATTACTGACAAGATGTGATATTGACGATAAAGAGCTTGGTATCGGTTTACCACGTCCATATGGCGCTGTGGTACCAACAATTCTCCCTTCGGTTTTCTTAGGAGAAGCATTATGAATTCCACCTGTTAATTTCGCTGCAAAAGTCTGAGAGCTCACAGTATTGTTACCATTATTGTTGTTGCTTATAAATGCTGTGGGCAGTTGTTTTGTATTTGAACTCTTTTGCGATGCTATAACGTTATTAAAATTAGGAGTAGTTTTTGTGACATTGGGTAATGTTTCCAGTCCACCAGGCTTGTGCTTTTGAGTACTAGTAATACTGCTAGTACTAGCTTGAGTACTGCAGCCACGTGTTGGTGGTTGTTGAGAATAAAACGCTTTCGCAGATTGACTACGTCCGGTTGAAATTTTAGAAGAAATAGCTGTTTGAGATTTTGGAATTAAGTTATTATGTTTCGTGCTAGCAATACTTGTCTTGGTAACAGTTGTTGTCATTGAAGTTGAGACACTTGTTGTGACAGTACTTGTAGTTGGTGTAACCTGATATGAGCATGTTGGAGCAGAGGGTGTTGATGAAGTCGATGAAGAAGAAGACGATGTTTGTAATGCAGTTTTGTTGTCCCACGTGCCAACAGTCATAGGTAAAGTAGATGCTTTTATGCTTGTATTCATACGTGGCAACATTTGTAATATATCGACATCGGGATCTTTAATTAGAGCTAAAATAAGCATATGAGCTTGTTTTGTTGCATCAGGAAGACCTTTTATTGTTATGCTTCTTTCTGATTGATTTTTTCCTTGTTTTTCAACTTCAATGTGTGCACCTGTTGTCGCACGAATAGCATTTATATTACTGCCTGCTCGTCCAATTACCCGAGAAATTGCATTGACCGGCACTTGAACTTTCTTGCATGTCATTTCTGGTACTGCTGTCGTAGTAGATGTGACAGAGGCTAACACTGTTGATGCATTAGTAGATGTAGTAGTGTTTTGTTGTGTTGAACTTTTTCTTACTACTTCCTTCCAACCATCTTCACCACGTTTAGGTGGACTCGGTTTGTTAACAGTTTCACGTGGTAATAAGCTATCATCTGGCTTTTTTGTGTCTTCAGTTGTGTATGTTGCGTTACGTGAACTACAAAAAACTAACGATTTGCGATTGCCCGTTTGATTTGGGTTTGTAGGTGGTGCATCAAGTTTTTCCAATTTTGGTTTTTCAGTTTGTGGTGGTTGTTGTTGTTGTTGTTGTTTAGGAGCAGAAGTTATTTCTTTAGGTGCTAAATTTTCTTTTTCGCGCTGTTTATTATCTTTTTTCTTATTTGACATGGTTTCATCTTTTTGCTTATTTGTACCATCACCTTTTTTGGTCACAGATGCAGGATTAACTTTAGTGGATTCTAAACTTGATTTCTTAACGTTTTTCATTTGCTGTTCTTCTTTTCTAGATTGTTTAGGTGAAGCTTTTGTAACTGCCTCTTCAGCAACAGGACTACTGTTGCGAACGTTTCGTGTATTACAATTTGCTACAGTTTGTGGTTGTTGAATGTTCTGTTGCGCATTTTTCTTCTTTTTATTTTTATTCTTACCACTTTTTTCTTGATTGGGTACCATACCAGCTTTTAATTCTGCACTAGAACACGAACCTTGATCAATACCTGAATCACCTTCTTCTCTATAATGTTGGGGATTTTGATTATCTTCATCATCCTCCGCATTATCTTCTTTATCACTATCTTCATCTTTATCAGAATCTTTTTCATCTGCTTCTTTATCGATATCTTGCGAACCGCTCGCTCCTTCCAATTGGCGGCGTTTTTCCTGTTTCTTTTCCATTTTTTTCTTCTTCTTTCGTTCACGCCGCCTTGCTGCAGCAGCTCTTCGACTCTCTTCACGTGTACGTTCTAAATCAAGTTCTTCTAAAAGAATAGAAGCATTCTTGTTTGCTTTTACAGCTTGTGCTTCTTTGGCTGCACGTATAATTTTCATACAATCATAACATTTTTCGGAAAGCTCTTTATCGCTTATAGTGCTAATGAAGCGGTTCATTTCTTGGTCAGATGGAAATTGAGTTACATACTGTACCATCCATTTCACAACTTTAGTATGTCCTTTACGGAATGCTGCCATTAAACAAGACACACGCCGATTATCCTGCGAATCAATGTCCGCATTATTATCAAATAAAATCTCAACAACCGCAATATGACCACCGTGAGCAGCTAACCAAAGTGGGGAATTTCCTTTCTTATTTTTAACTTCCACTGCTGCTTTTCTGGATAAAAGTAATTCAACAAATTTCAAATGACCTTTATCTGCTGCAATTGTGAGTGCGGTATCACGTGAGGTTGGAACAGGGGCAGCATTTACATCAGCACCTTTATCTAACAATACGCGACCAACATCTATATAGCCTCCGGATGCTGCTTCCATAAGAGGTGTAAGCCCAGTTTTTGCTCTGTGCTCTACATTAGCTTTGCGGTCTAACAATAGACTGACGACCTCGTGACGTCCTTGAAAACATGCTAATGTTAATGCAGTATTGCGATTTGTTTCAATTTGGGCGTTTATGTCTGACCCTTGATCTAGCAATAATTTCACAGCTGCTGCATGGCCATTCATAGCCGCAAGCATAAGTGGGGAAATACCTAGCTTACTTCCTGTTCGAGAATTTATTTCAGCTCCATTACATAAAAGTAGTTTAATTATATTAACATATCCACCACTAGCTGCTAAACTCAAAGGTGTGTAGTCAGATACATTACGATGTTCTTTATTGGCTCCAACATTTAAAAGTAATTCAACTACTTCATAACGACCTCCAGAACATGCCAGAGACAATGGTGTATCTTTGGTTCTTTCGGATTGTGCTTCAAGATCTGCACCATGTTTTAAAAGTATATCAACAACTTTTTCATGTCCAGCCGTTGCTGCTAGTATAAGTGGGGTAAAACCTTTTTTATCACGATGCTCAATATTGGCACCACGATTTATTAACAACTCCACTAACTCTTCGTGTCCACCAGCACAAGCTAATGTCAGTGCTGTGTCATGATTGGAATCAGTTTCTGAATCGACATCAATAGTCTTATCTAGTGTAGTAGTAGGTGCAGTCTGCTGGTATTGATGTTGAGCAGTTGTGTTCGCTATATTATAAAAATTTGTTAAATTTATGTATATATATATATACATATTAATATATGAATTATACATAAGTTATAATTTAAATGAATAAATTAGCTAATGCTTATTTTTTATTTTTTACTCACCTTGACTTCCTGCAGGAGTTTGACGTAAGAGTGAATAACGATTTCGCTCTTTGCGAGATTGCTTATCAATAGCTTTTTTAGCGATACCACCTGGCATTTTAGCTGATGACGAAGTGCAGATTGGCGGAGCAGGTATTTGTTGAGCTGCAACTGCAGCAGCAGCTGCTGCCATTTGTTGTTGATGTTGTTGCTGATTATTAATATTGCAACCATTCAAATCTATATCTGCTCCCATTGGTACAGCACAATAACGAGACGCTCCACGCGCAACTCCAGCAACATTAACTCCAGCATTTGGATGTGGTACTACAACTGATGGCTGAGTTTGAGTAGCAACTTGCACTTGCTATAGGAATAAAATAGATTATAATATATTAACATATTTTTTATTGTATAAATAATTTAGTTATATTTTACCTGTGTATGTTGAACACAAGATTGTTGCTGCTGCTGTTGATGTTGCTGTTGTAATTGCTGTAGTTGCTGTTGTTGCTGCAGTAATAATTGCTGTTGCTGTTCCAATTCTTGTTGTTTTTGTTTTAGTACCTGCTGATTTAAAACCTCGAGTGCTAAAGCAGCTTGACGCTGAAGTATATTATTATTATATGCTACCTGATCGAGAGAAGCCTGTTGTTGTTGGTGCTGGATTAAAGTTTCTGTACTTTGTTGAGACAAATCCTTTAGAATTTGCTGTTGCTGCTGCTTCAAAATTTTAACTTGCTGTTGTTGCTGCCTTTGATCGTGCATTTGGTGAAGTTGGACTGCATCAGGATCTTGTACTGCTTGAGGCATTTGGAATAAAAGTTGTAGAGATTGTGGCGGTTTTTCATTTCCTTCAACATTAAAAACATAGTTTCCAGCTTGTTGTTGTTGCTGCTGTTGACCAACTGTGACAGATGTATTAGTTTTAATCATACGCGCATTTGACTGCTGATGTATTTGCTGCAGTTGGAGTAATTGATGTTTAAGTTCTGGGTCAGTTTCTATATCAAGTTGTGTTTGTACCTGTTGTTGGTGTTGGTGTTGCAAATGGAAATCATTTGGATTTGGCAGTGTTTGTTGCAATTGTTGCTGTTGATGTTGATTTTGCATTGCAGCTGCTTCTTCAGGAGAAAACGGTAACAACGACAATGTCGCTTGTTGTCGATGATGCTGAATATTATTCAATTTAATATTTACAAATAACAATTTTTTAAATAGTACAAACCTGCATTATATCGCGTTCACCCATTTCTTCTTCAACTAAACGTTGCTGAAGTTGTTGTTGTAACTGGTAATCAAGAAGTAATTGGTTTGCTTGAAGTTGCTGTTCATGCTGTTGATCATCAGGTGAAAGCATATTCTGTTGATGAGCAGCAATCAGATGATCTTGACTTGTCCACTTTGCTGTTTGTGCCCAGTTACCGTTCCAACGTGTTTTACATATTGAATTTATTCCAAAATCTGCTAATTCGGCACAATTTAAGTTAGAAGTCAAGTCCTAATTTAAAAATTTTAAAAAGAAAAATTAAAGATCACTTTTTCAAATTTTCTATACATCCATGTACCTGCAGTGTTGGATCGTTAACGTTATGTATTACTTGAAATATTTCATCCATTTCAACGGCTATGTCATACATTTGTTCACGTGTTCCATCATCTTCGTTGCTAAATTGTTGTAATGTCTCATCTAATGGAGGGTACATTTCACCGTTCCCACCTTCAACCCCACCTGCAGCACCGATCATTGATCCGTCATCTGGATTTTCGTATAAATAAAATTGTTGATCAATCTGAGCATCATGTTGTATAAGCATAGCTGTATGGATATTAAAAACGAATTTTACATAACTAATTATTTGCTACCCCCCACTCAATTGCCCATTACCTTGATTAGTTGTAGTTGGTTTATGTTGATTCACTGAAACTGCAGTGCTTTGTTGCACATATTGTTGATGAAGTGCATTATTTAAAACATTTCCATTAGAAGCTTTGTAGTTACTTAGTTGAGGAAAAACATGGACTGTTCCATTGATATCTTGACGAAAATCGCAAAGACCTTGCGATATTTCATCATGTTTTAACGTTACATTAGAAAGTATTAAATTCTCTAAACGATGAGATAATTTGCGACTCTTGCTTGGAGAGTTCAATTCTAAATCATCGTCTGTAAGAGGCAACTCAGTGCTATCAGAATTGTTTCGCAAACATAAATCATTTTCATTAAGGTGTTCATCAATATTTAATGACGTTGAAGAGTCATTATCATTATCATCATCACCTTCACCTTCACCATCTTCTTCTCCTTCACCTTCCCCTTCGTCATCTTCATCTCCTTCTTCATCTTCATCATTCACAACAATCTCTGTCTCTTCTTCATCATTAATCAGCTCACTTATTTCAGTTGGTTCTGGTGGTAATACATTGACTTCATTTTCAATATCTTCATATATTTCATTGATAACATCTTCTACATTGAGTTTATTTGGATTATTGTGGCATTCACTTAATGAACCAGGAGTAGATGCTGCAGCTACAGCAGCTGCGGCAGCTGCAGCAGAGCATAATGTCGCTAAGTTTTTCATTTCAGCATTAGACTCAGATTCGTCACCGGAAACTCCCATTGCATTTGTGTACGCTTGTTGCTTTTCAGGAGGAGTTTCTGTTGGTGATTTTGGTTGATCATCAAAAAAGCGTCTTATACCAAAAAGCTGCCAACCTTCTTGCAATAATTTCATTTGAGTGTTCACATCTAATTTTTTCAGATACTCCTGTTGCTCAGCAGCATTCATGCTGCAAGCCGTAGCAATAGCTGCAGCAGCTGCTGAAGCAGATCCATTATTGCCCATGGAATTAAGTGAATCAGTTGAACCTCTAAAAAATCATTACGAAAAGTTAGTGAACAATATTAAGTGAATATCAATATTTTTTATATTTACCGTATGTCCTGCATAATTGACGAAGCTGCTTGACAACAAACTGCTTCAAGTGCCTCATGCAGATCATGAGAAGCTAGAACTCCACCATTATGAGATTGTAATAAAGCTGGAGACAGATTTACACTCATGTTAACATCTGCTGAGGTTTGTGTGTGTTGTTGGTGCAATGTCGTAATAGTATTAGGATCAGGAACTTCGAGTTGCTGCTGTGTAAAGGCTCCAGAAGATGAAGGCGAAGCCAAAGGTGAAGCTGGCGAATTGCTCAATGCTATTTGTCCACTCGATGTAACATCCAAGCTTGGGGGAATTTGTTGTTGTTGATGTTGTTGTGCTGCAAACACCATATGATTCATAATAGCATGCTGCGTTTGTAAAGTTGGCTTAACTTCATTTGTTATCAACAAGGGCTGTGAAATGTAGAAAAATATAATTAAAATAAGAATTCAATTAAACTAATTACTCTTAATAACTTACAAAAAATTATTAATAAATGGAAACCATTTAATTTTGTCTATGCAAAGCTGGAAGATTTCATAGTACATATTTTTACGAATTTAATTTATTGCTTTTGAATTTACCTTTTTGCCAGATACTGGAAGATTTTGCATCAATTTGGTCGATCACTTATGGCAGTACTTTGCAATACCTCCGATGGTGTAGTAATCTGTGACCCACTACTTTTTTGGTTATTACTAGTTGCATTATTATTGTTAGACTTATTTATATGATAGTTAACAGTATACTGCATGTTAGAATTGATCATGGTTTTATTTTGCGATTGCTGTTGGTGATGACGTGGTGCTTGCATATCTATTGCAGGAGTGTTTCCGTCAATTAATTCAGTGATTATATTGTTTGAATTCATATTAACACCTTGGGGTAAATTTGTAAGTATGACTGTTTCATTTGGATCTATCATTGGAGTTCCTAAGTAATAATATAAAATTATATATTTTAACGTTCAATATATATATATATTTACCTATTGGTAAATTGGAGTTATCCACAGCTTCTTCTACGACCTCCGCATTAGCTAAATCCATATATGTGACTGGTAGTAAAGATGTCGTTAACTGCTTATTATCATTTACATTCTAAAAATAAATATATATTAATAAAAATGTAATAAGTAAATAAATATATGTAGTTAAACCTTTTGTATAATCACACGACGACGTTTATAGCAATCTTCATCAATAAGGCAAGGTATTTGCTTAAATTGATTTGGTGTTACTGCTGTTGCCCCTGTACCGTCGTCACCAAGTGGTTGCGAGCGAATTTCCTCTATTTCTGTTTGCTGCTGCTGCTGCTGTTGTTGTTGTTGTTGCTGTTGCTGTTCTTCAAGCATATTTCTAGCTGCAAGTAAATTAAGCTCCAAAGACGCAGGTGACTGCCGATTCTTTCTAGCAACACTTTTAATTTTAGGCACTATATTTCCTGGAATTACTGGCGGTGCTGGAGGAGCTTTTTGTGGCGGTGTCAACGAATTTATATGAGTCATGTCTAATTCAAAATGTGTTCGCGGAACAGGCGGATGTGGTTTTTGTTGTACTATTTGCTGCTGCTGTTGTTGTTGTTGTTGTTGCTGTTGCTGCTGTTGTTCCCGTGTAAGGCCTTGCGTTAACCCTTGCTCAAAGCCTGCCTGCAGGTGAAATAAGCGTGACTTGGCAATCAGAGCTTCCTGTTGTTGAGCACTTAGTGAGTTGATATCAATAGCAGCAAACTCCTCACCAACAATATTTCCATTAGACTGTGCCAGTTGTAATTGTTCATCGAGAGATGGTACTGCAGTATTAGGATTTCCATTAAACTGTTGTTGATGAAATAATTGTTGATTAGAGGCTCTTACGGCCTCTGACACCTCATGTAAACCAGGTGGTGCGCTCAATTGCTGAAGTTGTTGTTGTAACTGATGTTGTAGGTGTTTCTGTTGTTGTTGAAGTTGTTTTTGTTGCTGTAAGTTAATGACACGCATTTGTCCAGCCGTTGGTGGATTTGTTGTAGCATTAGGAGATGCAGACGCGGTTGCTGTTGCCACTGTCGCGGATTGCATGTCATTTTGTTGGTTCTGTACAAACGGATACTTGAATAATAGCTCTACTACTCTAGTATGTCCACCTTTAGCTGCCTCAATTAACATAGTGCTGTTATCCTTTAATTTATGAAATGGATCTGCACCACTTTTGAGTAACAACTCAACAACTGCTTGGTGACCTCCTGCACAAGCAAGAGAAAGAGGTGTATGATCATTGCTACTGGTTTGTTTGTTGACATCAGCGCCTTTTTGAATTAAAAATTTCACAGTACAAAGGTGACCAGCACGACAAGCTTTCATAAGTGGAGTACGTCCACCCTCAGATTCATGTTCTAATTCTGCACCGAAGGATAGTAGTACGTCAGCAGCATCTGTATGACCATTTTCACAAGCATGCGTTAATGCTGTATCACCGGTCTGAGTTTCGGCATGTACATTAGCTTTATTTTGCAATAAGAAGCGTACCAAATCCGTGTGACCTTCTTGAGCAGCTTCCATTAGTGGTGTTGATGCGCCTAATTCTAAGTTGGCACCCTCCTTGATAAGAAACTCAGCTACTTCGCTAAAACCTCCACAACATGCTAAAGTTAATGCAGTTTCTTGCGTTTCCTCTGTAGTTGCGTTTATATTAGCGCCTTTACTTAACAGCAGTGCTACCATTTCTTCATGACCTTCTCGTGCGGCTTCCATTAAGGGTGTATAGCCTTCATCGTTTACTTCTTCAATATTTGCGCCGCGTTCGATTAGCAAAGTAGCCAACTCTACATGCCCTCCACATGCAGCCAATGTAAGGGGCGATTCAAAGGAATCAGTTGGCATATTTACTTGTGCACCAGAATCAAGTAAAAGACGAGCGACTTCCACATGACCGTCCATTGAGGCTTCCATCAAGGCCGTATGCATTTCATCAGTTTTATGTTCCTGATCAGCTCCAGCTTGTAATAAGAATCGCACCATATTTAAATGCCCTTTATAACAAGCAAGTGTTAATGCACTTTCCTTGAACTCATTGGAGTGTGTATTAATACCAGCACCACTTTCGAGGAGAACCTAAAAATTTTAAAATATACATTAAAAAAACGATTAAATGTGTATGTTACATTTATTAAAATTTTTAGATACTGCATCAGATAAGATCAAAAAATATCAATGAAATTATATAAATGGCATGGGACAGATCAGTAACTCAACCCAGTCCCACCATATGCAACAAATTTTCTCAAATCTCGGATTTTAATCATTTGCAATAACAATTCAAATAAAAAAAATAAAACAAAAAACAAAAATAAAATATTAAAAAATGTATCACTGAAAGTAAATAATTTTTAAACTAATGCATATTTTTACCTTTGCTACTTCAACGTGGCCAGCAGAAGCTGCTTCCATCAATGGCGTATGGCCATTTTCATTTTGTTCCTCGACATTGGCGCCATGTTTCAGAAGTTCTTTCACTACTTCAACATGTCCACCAGCGCAAGCAAACATAAGCGGGGTATTTCCAGTTGCACAATGCGCATTAACATCCGCATTATGACTAAGAAGGAGCTTAACAATGTCCAAATGACCAGCTGATGCAGCTTCCATAAGTGGTGTACAGTCCTTTTGACCTTTGTCTTCAACCTGAGCTGCTGACATAGCTAATAAAACCTTTAAAGTTGACAACAAAAAAAAACAACAAAAAAAATGTTTTTATTAATATCTTTCTTTCGTTAACGTTAATTAAGTGTACCTGTGCTAGTTCATAATAACCAGCTGAACAAGCCATTGACAACAATGATTCACCATCATCTGTAGACTCATTAATATTGACGTTTCCCTTGCCAAGTAAACGTCGCACAGTTGGTACGTCATTATCAGTGCAAGCAGCGATAAGTGTGCGAGAAAATATTCTGCGTTTTGAAGAAAGAGACAGATATTATATTAATATATATACATAAGCATATTTAACATATCTGCAAATTAACTAATTTAATTTATGATATTATCAAAGTGTATACTATATTATAATATAAAATTTAAAAAGATGCAGAAACAAGCCGGGATGACAGTTTTAAAACTGTTGATATGTTTCAAAAGTTCTTTCAAAACTACCAATGAACCTATTTCAATCAAAAGTTTTAGAACTGGGTTTTAATAAAATTTGGCTAAACTTACGTTTTGTCTCGTGGACTGTTTGCACATCTCATTTTGGTTAAGGCTTGCTTGGTCTCATCGATAGCATGAGTTGCGTGACGAAGAACTGGTGCTTTCTCATTTGCTAAAAGAAAATAAATTATTTAATATAACTATAGAGAGAAAGGTGTAAGAATTGATAGATTTTATATTACAATAGATGCTAGTAATATAAACTTCTGCTAAAATTTTGTTAAATATGAAAAACTAGTTTGTTTCTCAGATTATTACTAATATATATTATTAGAAATGTTTTACTTTTAAAAATGCCAGTTAATTGTTTTATTAAATGTATTAATAATAAATAAATTTAATTCAACCAATGTTGAAATAGTTATCTATGTTAATCAATATAATCAATTAATTACAACTCGCTACAAAAAATATAGATGCACACAAAATCTTATCAATTATAGTATTTATAATTTCATATTATTAATTACCTGCAGCCTCAAAAAGAGCATTGAGATTACGACTACGATCATTGCTGGAATCAAGAAGAAAATTACCGCTCACTTCATTCGGATCTTGAATCTCTTCATCCTCATCTTCTTCATCGATTTCCTCATCATCATCGTCATCTTCATCGTCTTCGTTATCATCGTCGTCTTCGTCTTCGTCTTCCTCTTCATCATCATCGTCCTCATCTTCATCATCGCCATCATCTTCATCTTCTTCGGCATCTTCATCATCCTCATTCGGACTTTCGGCAACAGATGCAACAGATTTTTTGAACATATAGTCTTTCTTTTTGAAAGAATGAACACAACTTTCAATATCAGATTCAGGTATATCATCCTATATAAGAAAAAGAGACGAATAAAAAAATTATGAGATGAACAACTTGTGTTTGAAACAACTTTGTTGTGGTATTATTAGTTAATAATTTCAATTAAAAATACTGTATTATAAATATTAACGAACATAAGAATAAATGCGAAGGTTTAAATCAGACAATTAATTATCAAAAACAAAATACATAAATAAATAAAAAATTATACTTGTTGTCTAAGGCCAGCAAAAGGTTGTTTGTAGTAGTATTTGTGGTAGGATCCAACACAATAATCAATTGTTTAAAATAAAGAATTAATATAATTTTGTTGTTGTTATTAAACCATTAGTTGAGATATATTGCTGTTGCGTTATTATTGTTGTTAAAATTTCTATTCATAAACTTTTATGCATTTTCAACAAAATAAAAGTAAAATTTAATTTGATTTGATTAAATTTTTTCGCAATTCTTGTTATAACTTACTTACCAAAAGTTCTGGCCTTAGACACAAGCATGCCAGAAGAATCTACAAATAAAAAACGAAAGTAGAAATGAAATCAAAAATAAACTAAAATAAGGCAAGCTCACCCCTCTACTATTTGCCATGATATATAATGAATGAATTATAAGCAATTATTATAAATTAAAATCAAAAATTATGAATTAAAACAGTATTATGATGATACGTTTACATACAGTCGTCGCTTATTTATAAAAAAAAATAAATTTATTTGAGTTTCCTACAATATAGTCGATCCAAAATATCATTCCTAATATAATATTTTAATATTTTCAACCAATGTTGAATACAAACTTCGGCAAAACCAAAAATATCTTTTACTATTCATTTACAATACATTTATAAAGTAAAATTAATTAATGTAAAATTAAGTAAAAATAATGTTGTGTCAGTCTTGATGATGTTGTGGTTTCAGAAGCCCACAATAGGTATTTTTTTTTTTTTGAAATATATCAGCTGTGGGAGGGAACTAGTAGTTTTTACTTAATTTTTATAATTTTACTTTATGAATGTTTATTATGTTAAGGCTAGTTGAGTCAGTGCACTTGAGCAATTGTACTCTCTATTAACTGCGACATTTCTTCATAACCCCTTTCTATACCTTGACTGGATTATTGTTTATCACTTCATCAGGCTAAGCAATAACTGACCTCAGATCTGTATAGCTCCCCTAGAAGCCTGCTGTAACCGTTCTGAGATTCGATAACGCGTTGTTAGTAAGTAAAAGATAAATATTTGGTTTTGCCTAAATTTTATACCCCTTTACAGAGTTTTCAGGAATTTTTATTAAATAATATCAATAAATGAAACTGAAATCATTAAATTATATACAAATTCATATGTTCATATTTTTTAATGACAATATGTTATGTAATAAATAACTTTTAATTGCAAATATCATAGATAATTAGTCTTCCTATGTAAATTATAGATAAACTTCATATGTAAAAAATTACACATATTTCACATAATTATATTTATAGATACGGGTATTTTAAAAGAATAATATATTTAAAATGAAAATCGACACTAGTTATCTTAAGATTTAATAACTAAATACCTAACTGGAGATTAGATATTGAATATATCTACACAATTTATGTTCGATCTAACACTACATTCAAACTGTCATTATATCGATTTATTACAATAAGTAAAACTATTAGTTTTTTTGTGCCTCTTAGTTTCATTCTATGCACAAATTAATTAAGATCTGAAACAAGCTAATTTTGGCCGATGCAAAAGAATTAATTAGGTAGGTGAATTAACCCATTTTGAATACGTTCAATACAAAATGCAGGTTAGGTTAAGTTCGTAAGGCGCGTGTTGACTTCCACGCGGAGGCATATATTGCTCATTATGATGCCCTCAAAAATTATATTTTATTCAAACACAACCCTGTTTTTAAATTGCAATAATCGAGTATTATGACTTGAATACTGCAAAAATTGCATTGTTTTTATCATAAGTCATATTCATATACTTGAGCTTTGATGTAACAGATTAAAACACCGATTTATGTTACAACTTTCAATTTTGGTTCAAGCATAATCCTATGATAAAACTTACCTCGAAGCATAGAATTGAAACTTATTTCGTGTCATTTGAATTTGAGTCCAAAATTATTTGCGTTTTGAGTGGAATTTCTTTAGTATTTTTGTAAAAGAAAACTTCTTGAGCTTGACACTTTTTAGGGTAAAGATTTTTGCCATAAAATTTTAGTTAAAAAGGCAATTTAATTTTGATATTTGGAATAATGAATTTATGTTGAATTTGGTTGCCAATTACGTAAAATATTTAAGAAACCAAAAAAAAAACAGAACTTGTGTGACAATTATTGAAACACACACAAAAAAACAACATATTTAAATAATACATCAATGGTTTTAATGCATTTATTTTGCATTTAAAAAACAAAAACAGGAATGAGTACTTGACTACTTGTGATGAATAAACAAACTAGTATCTTAACTTGATACCTAGAACCCATTGATGACGCAAGCATTTTGCACCGATCAATATTTACGGCATCAACAAAAATTCAGTGACTTTATTCCATCACTTCTACTCTTCTTCGCTTCTATGCATCGAGAATGTTCATATGAACTCGTACACTTTTGTTGCAAACTGATTTCATGATTCAAACGTCAGATTGCAATAATGAGAACATGAACAAAAAAAAAAAAAAAGTATTACAAACAAAGACGCTGATATCTTAATTTTTTCTTTGTTTTTTCTTTTTTTGTCTTTCCGACAAATTTTTGAAAATAAATGTAAAAATATAAAAACAAAAAAAATAGCATTAGTCTTCGTTTATAAAAAAAAAAAAAATTAGCAAGCAAGCAAAAGAAAAATAAAAACAAAAGGAAAAACATTTTTATCGGCCAGTGCACCACATATCAATTCATTCTTTTACGTTTTTGAAACGAAACCCCTTCAGCCCCCCAGACCCCCCTCAATTAAATTGTATGTGTTGTACGGCTATTATTGGTTTATGCTTTTGTGTTTGTGGATTATATTCACTTTTTTTTGTTTTGTTATTCAAATTTTTGAAAAACCTTTTCAGTTGACGTTTGTGTTACGTGTTTTTCAATTTGTTGTTGGAAATTGTTTCTGCAAACAAGAATTTAGCAGTTAGCAGTACGAAGCGATGATGATGATTCATCCAAAACGTTTTAATAATACCAAAGTTTGGTTTCATTTACTATATATAAATATATAACATATATGTATATAGACAACAGGTTAAACACTTTTTTTTACTAATTCCTAAATTCCTATACAAACATCGTTTAGTTTAATTATTTATTAAAAAGTTGCTACCAACTTTATTTGGAAATTTTTGAACGTTTTGAGTGTGAGTACATACATATGTACATACATTTTAATTTTGCAAACATTTTTCACATTTTCTTTCATCAATAATGTAAAAACAAACAAATAAAATTGACTTGCCACCTTACTCTTTTTTTACTTTTCTTAAATTATTTTTAATTTTTGCAATACATTTGTACTAACGACGACATTGTTTATTTATTATATTATGTATATGACTGGGAATATACATTTTAAAAAATAAACTAGTATTTTTAAAAAATAAAACGATAGTTTAAAAAAAAAACTTTTCACTTAAATCAAATATAAACGTACATTATTTGGTATCTCCTCAATATTCAAAGTATATAAAACTTCTATATTTGAATTGTGCAGAGTGCAGCACATTGGATTATTACCACAACTATTCACATTCATGTCAACTGTTTTACTTATTGTAATAGACTGATTTGGTGGAAGAATTTGCATACTAGCCAACCATCTGCTAGGTAGTATAGTTTTAACAAAAACTAATAGCTGTAAATGCTCGTAAAAATTTTATGCTAAAAATCTGTTTTGTACTTGCAAAGCAACTTTCCTTACTTACTTCTTAACTCTTGAAGATTAAAAATAACAACCACCGTAACTACCTAAACATTTCGTAGAAATTCTCTTCTCTGATGCAAGTACATTCAAACCTTCAGGAAAATATTATAATAATTTTTGAACCTGAAACATTTGGTATAGTAAACTTTTACTAAACTATTTAAACAAGTAAAAGATTAAATCTATTTATCTCAATGCACATGTACACATACTATATGAAGGACCAATCTGCATTGACCAAAACAGATGGATAATTAAATAAAAGATGTTTATTTAATGTTTTAGGACTGAATTAAAAAAAATTACTATTAGTTTTATTTTACAGGGTATATAAAAAACAATTTGAAATGTATAAAATAAGCCAAAGATGATTATCAATGATAGTCAAAATATATCAAAAGACAAATTAAAATAATTTGTTTTGCAATTTACTGATCAATTAGGTCGTTTTATAATTGATTAATACAAATTAATAATAACTAAGCAAACGATAATAAAGCATGACACAGTTTGAAATATCAAGATATCCATTCGATTGGCAATAAATAGTTGAATATTGAAAAAAATTGGAATAGTTCGAAATATGCGTATATTTTAAATTATTTTAAATTATAATTCTCATATAGTTTGTAAATATACATATATATAAACATGTAGTTATTGCTATTTGAAAATCTTTGCTTCTTTAAAAATAATTTTAAAAGCTTGTTACTTTTATTACACATTTTTCTTAATTTAAGTAGAAGTGATTATTGCACCTCTTGCATTTAAATAATATGATAATATGTAAATAAACACTATTACAGAATTTACATATTTATTTTTATATCATAAGAAATCGTTTATAAAAATTTTAATTAGGGATATTCTTAGTGATATTTTAAAGTTTGTTATTTTAGATTATACAACTAATTATAAAGGCTCTAATTAAAATTGATATATGAAATGAGCTGGCATCACTGTTACAAACTATCATTCTTACTAAGGTCGTGTGCGAATTCAAGTAAATTGAGGTAAAGTAAATCAATATTTTCTTAGCGATTTTTACACTACACTTATGTACATATTTATTTTTTTATTTATTTATTGCACTTATTTATTATTTTTGGTTTAAAGTTTTCATATTTATTTATTTTTTAAACATCTTATACAATTTTCACAATGGTAACACCTAATTTACCTAATTTTTATCTAATTTACCCTATTCGAAATTCTGGTAAATACCATAATTCGCTGCCATACCGACATAATTTACTATTTCCTTCAATTTACTCGAACTCGCACACGGTCTAAAAAGCAAAAGATCAATTTTGTTTTTTAAATATATCATTAATATATTAAATATGTTAATAATTATATAAAAGAAAATTGTAGCAAACAAATGAAATGCATTTTGTTAATATAAATTCTAACCAAATGTATTTAATTTTAGATTTATACATTTTTATTTCGAAACTGGCAGCACTGTTTTTACACAACAACAAAATGACGTACATAAACGTGTTCATTTCTCAGATGACATTTCTTTAAAATCATAAATTAAACATATGGAGTGTGATGTGCACTGAAAGGTAAGGTAAGGTGGT